GCATTTTGAAGGGGCACAAACTAGTGGGAATGACAATCATGCTAAAAAAGAAGTGAATAAAGAAAAGACCTGCTTCCATAGTGAGACTGACACGTGGACAGGAATCAATTCATCAACCCAAAGCGAAACCAAATTGCAAACTGGGTTAAGTGTAAGTGGGAATGAGCTCTGAATCTGCTCCAGGTTTTAGTTCATACTTTAAAGGAGAGATCCAGTGTGCTTCACCCTATCCCAACTTGGTTTTAGCACCCTGGATAATCTCTTTAAAGTTTGGAGTAAAACTCAGAACAGATTCACCAAGCCACTGTCATGGAAACTACCACTTGCCACTAATTATTAGCTCTAGTATCAGAGGTAATATTCTTCTCAATACTAATTGCTAGGAAGTATGAGCAAGAAAAGCTATTCCTTGAATATCCTGCTTCAAGGATTTCTCATTGGTGAGTTCTTAGGTGCACTGTGAACAAAGAATGACTGAGCAAATAGACCCACTGGCATGGAATCCCCTGCATTTAGCTAACTGACACCAAACTATATGTTGGAGGGATGGGAGGGAAATCAGCCATGGCCCATAGTTGATAAATATTTTTAATTGTCTTTTCGATGCCTGCTTTTAACTGTTGTGTGATAAGGAAAATTTTATTTGTGAGAAATTAATTAACATCTTTTGAGATGGCTTTCCCTTGCCACCTAGCTTTTACCAAAGCATAGGAGCCTTCTTCTAGTCCAAAGTTTAGGAAAACTATGCACAGTTTCTTCTAAGGCATGAGGCTGGGTGATAATTAAGGAAGAATAAGTAATTGCCACAGTTGGGGACCATGGCTGATCTTTAAAAAGTCAGAAATTCATTGTGTCCACAGAAATCAGTTGCTCCATTAGTCTACAAACAAGTTGTTTGATTTTCCTGTAAACATCCATGGCAAAGACTTAAAACCTTGGTGATTCCATATGTACTGCATACCTCCATGAAAGTCAGCAACCCCATGCTGGTCTTTATTTTAAAGAATCTGGGTTGGCATCCTTGAGCTTTCTGTGGTGTTAATCAACATTGTGATTTCCCTAATTAAACACATTCATCTATTCATTCATTCCTTAGGTGATTAATCTTACATTCAGAACAAATGCAGAGACCTGAGACTTGCTCTTGCCTTGGATTATAAAGCAGTCTTTCTTTTGTGGATGGCTTTCCTTCCTACTTAGAGTTTTGTCTAATTCTACATTCATTGTTCTGAGCTGAGGTAAGTAACTGGAATTTAATAGAGATGGAGGAAAGAAAAGTGCTTTATTTATTTTTAAGGAAGAAAAAAAGGGAAGGAAATCAGCATATACATTTTCAATAATAGAATAATGCACTATGCAGAACAAACATTTCCACTGTGCTCTGCATCCATTGGTACAGACATCACAGAAAATTAAGCATATATTACATTCTCCTCTGCTAACATTTAGCTAGATTTTTGTAAGCTTATATGTGGAATGTAGCATAGTCTATAATTTTACTACCTTGTCAGATTAAATAATCATTTCAATTGTATGCATACGGAATGCATAATTTAAAGAGAAAAAGAAATCATGGGGGAGACAAATAATAAAAGAATATATATGCTTCTTCTGAATTATTTCTAAAAATTAGATCACATGTCTGTGCTGGCTGAATGGCCGTAATAAAGAAATTGAAATTGAAATAGATCACATGTATCCTTAATTAAATTTAGCAAAAAAAATGGAGTATTGTCATGAATTTGGTAGCTGGATGGAAGGATTTTTTGTTTTAAAATAGACAACATTCTTTTTTAATGCTAACAATATTGGAAGATTCTTCCAAATTCTGGGAACAAGCCTCAGAAGTTCTTTCATCTAAGCATGTATATCTGAGTTTCAACAGTGTGTTAGGATGTAGTGCCTAAAAGTGAAGTCCCACTCTGCTGCCCTGAAATATGGACTAGAGAAACAACTCTGTACAACAGTTCTGATGCCAACAACCCCATGAGTTTATTGGTTGTTTTTTTTTTTTTTGACAATTCTGGACTGTAGCTGTTGCAACAATTCTCACCTTCAGTCCCATTTGAGATAAAGGTGAGGTATAAATCCAATAAACAAATAAATAAAATTAAAATAGCAAGTGATTTCAAAATGGTGGTTGTTGCTATAAGCACTTAAATGCTGGATTATTACTAGTCTGTCAAAATATTTCAATGTGTATGAAGCAAACTTGTTCTCATTACATTTACTGTGTTGCAATTGGTGTGAAATTTTAACAATACGGGCAGGCTAAATTCTCATGCACCTGCAGTTCTAGATTCCCAACTGCTTACAAATATGTGGTGATACTCATGTAGCCTTTCAGATGTCATTGAAATACATGCTCCAGCAGCCCCAGCCAGTATAATCTATGCTGAGGAATGCTTGTAGTTGCATCCCCCAAACATTTGGAGGGTTACATGATTTACACTCCAGTTACATATCTTTAGATGGTTCAAATCATGCCTGAAGCAAATTTCTCTATATTTTCTTCTTGAAATTCTATAGGCTCACTACACTTGTGGCTGCACTTTTTCTAGGCTTGTATAGTGGAAATATTGAAGGCTAACAAGTCTCTCAGCTATGATAAACCTATTTCTCCACTGCTTGCCTGTCTGCCTGCCTTCTGAATATGTCCATATCCTTTGTTCTCTTCCCACCACTGCTTACACTGGTGTAGCACAAAAAAATGATTTCCACCACTTCCTTGGATTTAGGCCTAATTCTGTCACACCATTTTGCCATAGTACAATATGAAAAGTAAAGGTAATATCACCACCCTTTAATTATATAAATATGTAGTCTGCTAAACAGGCTTTCTTTTAACTTTTCCAATCTGGGTGGACCATTCAGATTTATGCTGGTCAAGCAAATGATACAGGAGTTAAACAGACCATATTGCAAAAAAACAAAACAAGAGTGACCCTTTTAAATTAAAAAATACCTACACGATTTGGTTGTGATCAGAGCTTAATACTCCCCTGCCCCCAAATCCCAGAACACCTCAGCCAGCATGGGCATATGTTCTGGAGGTTGTTATTAATTTTTAAGACTTAGTAAAATAAATGTTTTAATCAGCTTAGCTTCATGAATATAAGGAATCTTAATGCTAACTAAAGTTTTGACATCCTATTTTAACTCACAGTAGCATATGACTTCATGTTTGCTCATACTTTTCTGACAAATGGGCGCACATACAGAGTACTGAAATGTCTGGTAATTTGTCCTTCCCTGACCACCAGCCTCTGACCCTGCTGTCAATGGGCATTAGAGCATGGCTCAATGTGTTGTGGTAGAAGAGACACAATTGGATCAAGAAGTGGAACAGAGCTTTCCTTTTACTGAGAAAAGGGACAAAACTTTCTTCTACAGAAACTTGAGCATTAACATACTCTGTCATAATTGTCTGCAGATCCAGAAGTACTGAGAAATGTATACAAATCCAAACGCCAGGGGCTATTTTAATTATTTCCTAATCTCTTTTCAGATACTCCAGGAGCAAATGTATATTTTAAGAATGATAGCTTGTGGGTTGTTTTGCCACATTTTTCACATAATATCATTTAGTTATATCCAAATTTAATTCCAACCAAGATTTTTTTTGTTTACACACTTTAATAAAAACATTTCAAGTTTTGTTTCATTTTATTTTTAATTTGTATCCCACAGCATGCTTTGAAAAACAGCTTTCAGGGTAGCTTGCAACAATGAATCCTGTAATATCTAATCAGTGCAATATAATGAAATGAACCAACAATGAAAAGTACTCCAAAGTAACAATTGTGGCTGTAACTGTTCTAGATTCTAATAAAACAACACAAAAACCTGGAAGAAAATCCATCTTTTATACACTACTCTCACGGTTTTAAAGCTGCTTCCCCCAGCCCTAATACCCTCCTTATGTCCCTGGGGAACAATTTTCATTTTTCTCAGTACTCTGTCTAAAATGGAATTGTACAAGTCAGATAATAGAATGATGGAAAGCTAAATTAAGACCTTGTTGGGAAGGATGGCTTTCTAGAGAAGACATCTTCAAGTGGTATCCTTAAGATATATATATATATATATATATATATATATATATATATATATATATATATATATATATATATATCCAAATACCATGGCAAGGATGGGCATTGTAGTCTAATCTAGAAGTCACCCATTTGAGGAAGACAGGTGTCAGATGATTACCTATAGAAGCTGAATGGATTTACTAAAGATTTACTAAAGTTCTCACCCTTTGTACCAGCCACAATTAACATCAGAGATGAACAGAAAGTTCTGGGGATGCTCATTGAATCATAGAGTTGGAAGGGCCCAAAGTCCATTAAGTCCAACCCTCACTCAATGCAGGAAATCCAGCTAGAGCATCTTCAATGGGTAGCTCTCTAGCCTCTTTTTGAAGACAGCCAAAGAGATCACACCACTTCTTTAGGTGATTGGTTCCATTGTCAAAGAGTTCTTATGATCAAGAAGCTCCTTCTAAAGTTCAACTGAAATCTACCCTCTTGTAATTGAAAACCATTAGACCATCCTGCCCTCTGCGGCAGTGGAGAATAAACATGTCCTCTCCTCTCTAAAGATCCTTTAGGTATTTAAAGAGTGCAGTCATGTCACACTTCACTTTTCTTTCCACCAGGTTGAATATGCTCAACTTCTTCAGCTTCTCCTCACATGTTCCTTATCATCATTGTTGATGATAAGAACCATCTCCAAGTTGTCTGTTGTTGTTTGAACCATCTCCAAGTTGTCTGTTGTTGTTGTTGTGTGCCTTCAAGCTATTTCTGACTTTTGGTGACCCTAAGACGAACCTATCACAGTTTTTTTTCAAGATTTGTTCAGAGAAGGTTTGCCATTGTCTAAGAGCATGTGCCTTGCCCAAGATCCAGTGGGTATCTTGGCCAAGCAGGGAATCAAACCCTGGTCTCCAGATTCGTAGTTAAATGCTCAAACCACTATGCCACACTGGTCTGTATCCTTCCTAAAATGAGAGGCCTAGAAGTGAATGCAATATTCCAAAAGAGATCTTAGTGCAGAATAAAGTGGGTCTATTACTCCTTTGTCTTGAAGACTGTGTGTGTATATATGCCTTCACGTTGCCTGTTTGCTTATTACATACCCTGAATTTTATAGTGTTTTCTTAGACAAGGAAGTAGTTTGCCATTTCCTTCCTCTGAAATATAGCCTACATCACCTGGTGTTTGTTGCCAGTCTCCCATGCAAGTACTAACCAGGATTTCCTCTGCTTAGCTTCCAAGATCAGATAGGATCTGGTGCTTTTAGAGTATTTAGACATTATGGTTCCATTAATGAAGCCTAAAATATTATTTGCCTTCTTTGCTGCAGCATCACACTGTTGAGCTCTATCCAGCAACCTGAGTGGAACAGGAGTTTCATATGAAAGGATGCCCTCGTATGAAAGGATATGATGATGGGTGGCTTTGACAGACAAGAACAGCATTTTTAATTCTGCCTAAAAACTAACTAGGAGCCAATGTGATCTTTCAGCACAGGCATTATGTGCATTCTGATTACAACCTACAAGTGGACTGCCAACCAGATAGGACTCCCAGAGAGCTTTTAAAGATGACCCAGCACAGAATACTTTACAGTATATTCTGCTGAATGTACATTTTAGGGTAAAGAAATTACAAACATAGGTTGAACCTCCCTTATCCAAAATGCTTGGGACCAGATGTGTTTTGGATTTTTTGCATATTCTGGAATATTTGCATATAGATAATGAGATATCTTGGAGATGGGACCCAAATCTGAACATGAAATTTATTTATGTTTTGAATATACCTTATATATGTAGCCTGGAGGTAAATTTATACAAAATATTTTAAATAATTTTGTACATGAAACAAAGTTTTGTACTTTGAACTATCAAAAAACAAAGGTGTCACTTTCTCAGCCACTCATGTGGACAATTTTGGATTTTGGAGTATTTCAGATTTTGGACTTCCAAATAAGGGCTCTGTCTTGGGGTGGTAAATAATATTTCTGGTTGTCCTATCACATTTAATTAAGTGCAGTATTATAAGAACTCAAGGGGTAAAAAGGATAGTTTCAATTATTTCAAATTTATGAAGAGAATTTTTAGATGCAGATGACAAGATAGGACCTACCATAATAATTAATGTCAACAATATACTTAATGTAAAGTGTATTTCAGATTAAATGGCAAACTTTGCATAACATTTTCATTGATTTTGCATGCATAACAAAGCTGGTAGTTCAAGGCCACATAGAAATGGTGGGAGATCAGCTAAATTTTGTAAGTTTAAAAGATCCTGTACTGAAATGAGAAGGAAAAAGGAGTTTAATAGGTCCCCCTCCCATGCCATTTCCTTGATCTAATCCAGGGGTAGGCAACCTTTTTGAGCTGGGGGCCGGGTTGCTGTCCATCAGACAATTGGAGAGCCGAAGCACCAAAAACAAACAAACAAACAAACAAACAAACAAACAAATAAATATATTTTTTAAAAAAATAAAAAGTTAAAAAAATATGCATGCACATTCTCTCAGCCCCAGAAAAGCCATGGCAAAACCCCTGTGGAGATTTTGCCAAGAGAACCCCAAGAACAAGTAATAACAACAATAATCAATATCATCATGGCGGGCGGTGGCAACGGCAGCGGTGGCAGGAATGGCCTGGGGCCAGTCCAAAGGCCTCGGGGGGGCGCATCCGGCCCCTGGACCTTAGGTTGCCTACCCCTGATCTAATCCCACAAACCCAGTAGAATTATTGACTTGTGGGGGGGGGGGACTCAACAGAAACAAAACAGTAGTATGGTTTTGCTGATTGCTTCCTAAATGGCTTGGCCTTTCTGCCACATTGAATATTTCTCGCAGCAGCTCCATTTTCTCTGGAAACATAGACAAAAGTGGGACCTAAAACAAGAAGAAGAGATTCAGTAGTTGTATGTAACTGCTTATGGTGATCCTTGTGCAGGATTTAGAGTCCTTTAATTCAAAAGGATGTTATCAGCCACTTTCCAAAATTTTGGTACTGTGGAGGGATAAGGAACATGCAAAAAGATCCAGGTGCAATGTATCACTGCATCAGAGCCAAAAACTGTCCCCAAAGCAAACAGGAAGTAACTTTTAGCTTTCCTTTTTGTATGTTTAGGGTCATTTGGAGGTTAGGGCATATTTCAGCCATGGGCAAGGACACATGTCCCTAGACCAGGGGTTGGCAAACTACGGCTTGAGGGCTGAACTCGGCTCCTTGAGGCCTTTGAACCAGCCCGTGGCCTGTCCTGCCGACGTTGCCGCCACCGCCTGCATGCCGCCGCCTTTCTAGCACTCACGATATGGGGCACTATTTTGTGTTCTAAAATGGTGCCCATGCTTGCACACGCATGCCTACGGCACCATTTTCCCACTCCTTAGGCCTGTTGACAATTAAGGGACAGCAGAACTGCCCTCCCCCCAAAAAAAAGGTATTCCGACCCCTGTCCTAGACAGTTGTAATTTACCCACCTGACATTCTCTAACAATCAGCATAATCTGAAGTCACCTAAGGATCTCTTCCTTGTCAGTGTACAGGGTGGCATGTGTCCCAGTAATGGTTGTGAAATATAGACAATGTCATGTTTTGAGTTAAAACAGCATAGGTTCTGTGAAGAATTTCAGAGGAGTGCATAGGTACTTGGCTGCTTGCTTAATGTGGGTCTGGTTAAGAAAGTGGCACAGCTCCATAGTTACTCAAAAGGCAGTGTGGTGAACATTTGGTTGAGTTCTTTTTCAAGACACCATGATAGGAAGGTAATTTCCCTTTATCAAATGCCAACATTTTGTAAACTTTGTAAACAAGTGTGAAACTCTTGGAAATTGTTACGTGATGCAAAATCTTGATGCAGCACTGGCACTAGTGGAGAGATAAGAAGAAATAGAGTTCCCAAGTATGCTAATCTCCAGATATTCAAAGGTACACTTAGGTCTATCACTTTGTTGGATCCATATTAAGGCATTTAGAAAGTAGCTGCGCCCTACATGTTGTTCTACAGGCATCTTCTGATAGTATAGGTAAGGATGCATCTATCATAGATAAGGCTTTTCAATATTTATTTTCATCCAATGTCTTCTAAGGGCTGGTCATTTCAGCTTTGGCTTTCTTCCTGACCAGAAAAATAAAAATAAAAATCTGGCAGTAGCTTGTTTTATTTGGCCAGGATTGCAGTAGCTACATGATGTGGAATAGCCTGGAATAACAAAAACATTCTGTTCCTACAGTAGCTATTCTGGTTGACCATACTAACTATATTTTTATTTAAAGTGCAAGCTTGTGTTTTACAAGCAATGGTAGTTGTGTTTATACTATTTATGTAGTGACTTTTCTTTCTATCTATTTCTACATTTAGAACAGCTACATGTATCAGAAGGACAAGCTATTTACATTCTGTCATACCTTGCATGGCTATCCCTCCAGCTGTAGTATACATCATTGCTTGTGATAATTATTAATCATTTTTGGTGATTGTTCAGTTGCAAGTGCTCTAGAAAATAAAGATTTATCCTCAAATATTCCTCATATTCGCATTGGTTTCAGTTGCTCTTGAGAGAGGATGTTTTTCCTCTCTCAAAGTATGACTGAAAAAAATATTCAGGGTGCCCCCAGCCCACCAAATGTAAATTTCTTATGTTACCACATAGACTATATTTTATGTCATACTGTTCAATACATACTCTCAGAATGTGGTTAAATTTAATTACGGTGTGAATTAAAAATAATTGGGGTAATCTCCAACTCTTCCCTAGTGAATTTTGTGTGCATCACATGACCTATGTTTTAAGTCAGACCATTCGAAAAGTACCATCTAAATTTGGTGAAATGCCACCCAGCCATTTTTGCATGACAAACATAGAAACAGACAGAAACTTGATTTGATCTATATATTTTATTTATATTTCTGTTGTTACATATTACTCTGTCTCTTTTTGTACTGTCCTTTTGTCTCCAAACCACCAAACAAGATGCTTCTGGTTGTGCATCCCATCGCCCTCCCCAACCTGAGTACCCTAATGCCTGTTGCAGCACACTGCAACTTTTGTTTACAGATCCTAACATATACTTTGCGGGGCAGATATACCAGTTGTGGCTGTTGGCTCCCATATTAGTGGGGTGGTACATCTGCTCCATCTTTTAGCCAGAACTTCAAAAGTGTTATCAAAAGTGCTGAACTTATTTGGGGGTTAGGACCCAGCCCCTTGGACAACCCTTTTAAGGTTAACAATAGCAAGTACAGTTGGCCCTCCACATTTGCAGGGGTTAGGGAAACAAGACCCCCGCAAATGTGGAAAAACCATGAATACCCCACACACACATGGCAGCCATTTCCAGGGTGGGAGGGGCTCGGGGAACACTCCCTTCCTCTGACCCCTCCCATCCTGGATAGACTTGGGAGATGTGTCTCTTAAGCTTTTCCAGGGTGAGAGGGGTTTGGGGTTCATGGTTTAACAGTCGCAAATAACCAAATCCACGAATGTCAAATCGACAAATGTGGAGGGCCAAGTGTACACTTCTATACCACTTATCAGTGCACTTAAGCACTCCCTAAGCAGTTTACAATGTGTAAGCCAGTTGCCCCAACAATATGGGTACTTATTTTAACAACCTATGGAAGGATGCAAGGCTGAGTGGACCTTGGAGCCCAGCCTGGGATCAAACTCACAACCTTGTGGCTGTGAATGGCTACAGTACTGGCATTTAACCACTGTACCACCAGGGTTCCTGTAAAGTTTAGAATAAAATTCAGAACAAATTCATTACCCACTGATATGTTCATCATGTAGGCAAGGACCTGTAGGAAAGGGATTTATATAAAAAAAAAAGCTTCATGAGCAGAAAGGCTACAACACATGGATAAACACATACAGAGCAAGCAGCTTATGGCCAACACTATTTGGAGGATCTTCCTAAGTCTTTCCACTTTTTGTTTTTGCTTTGTCTTGAGTTCAAAGCA